GTTTGCTGTAGATTTTTGTAGTTTATCGGTAATCTGAACTGTTGTAAGGACGTTTAAATCCTGAAATCTTTCATGTTCTGCACTCATACCGAACTGTTCAAGCACATTTTTCTGCATGGAACTGAGGGGTGGGTAGGTTGGCTTTGGTTTGGGTTTGGTTTTTTTTTTTTCCCCTCTTCTGAATTTTTTGGGTGATGGAGAGGAGGAATTCTTGTTTAGTATTGAGACACTTGTATCTTTTAATACAACTGGTTGTTTCCTAATAATTCTGAGTTAGAATGATCTTTGATAATTGTGTAATTACTCCTGTAATAGGAATTATTTGTAGGAAGAAATGTGATCTTATTGCAGAACAAAGCCAGAAATATCAATTTGCTGTCTTGAATTACCCACAAGTTCTTGTGTTAATCTTAGGCTAATAATATTTTAATAAATATTTAATAAATAGGTGGTAGGATTGATGGTAAACTTTTATGTTGTCTTTTGTTGAGCATTTTTGAATAATCAGGGCTTGCCAGTAGCACACACAATTCTAGTTTTTTATAAACCCGAGGATTTTTTTGTTTCTTAATGTCTTATTTTAACTTCCTATCTTTAAAAGCAAAGGAAAACGTTAGGAAGTAATTGATTTAAATTTAACTTTACAAAGTATTAATAACTAATGGTTTTTTGCTTTCAAAGATTACAGTCTTTACTAGAGGCTGGAAAACAAAACCCCCAAAATTAGTCCTTTTTCTGAATGTTAAGCCTCAGTGGTTCTAGTACCATGACAAATATTTTTCCCAATAGGGATGTTATTGAAAAGCTATTTTCTGATGCCATTGAACAAAGAAAAGAAGATATTCAACAAAACAGTGATGTAGCACGCAGCTTAGCAACCTTCCAAAAATATGGGAATGACCAGATCCCTACAGTTCCGAACACAGGAAGAATTAATCCTCGAGGAGGAGGGTTTTTCTCAGGCGTTCTGACAGCTTTAACTTGTGTAGCAGTAAGTTTCATCTGGTTGGTTTTCCATATTTACTTCATTAAGCATGCAATCAAATATACTTAAATTACATACACATAAAAAAGATCATCAGCACAGAAGAGACTTCAGCTGAGCCGAGTAACTAATGTAGCATTCAGAGTTGCCTGTCGGGAACTACAATTGCAATATACAGCAAACGGAAGTTAGACAGATTGGGTGAAACTTCAAGATCCTTTCTTAAAACCTGAATATTCTAGGGCCCATAAAACAGATGATTCTACGTGTCAAGCCCTTTAATGTGTGTTTACTTATATCATTAATGTATTTGCTTTGCAGGTAAAGGATCTCTTTTTCTTTTCTTTTTTTTTTTTTTAATCTACCTATAGGTAGTTCTACTTGGATACCACTGGAGTAGCAGAGAATTTGAAGAAGATCTTCTTGTCCACAAGCCTGTTGCTAAATGGACTGCTGAGGAAGTGATACTTTGGCTAGAGCAGCTGGGCCCATGGGCTTCACATTACAAAGAAAGATTTTTACTGGAGAAGGTGAATGGAAGGTGAGAGGCTTAATTGTCAAGAACAGCTGACATTTGATTGGACTATTGGATAGCTTTCAGTAGGAATGGGCTATTGTGAAATGACCATATTTCTTTCCATAGATTGTGGGAATATTCTATTGATGTATCAGAATAAAATTCAGGAGAAGTTTTAATACTTGTAGTTGAAAACTTTAGTACTAAGCAAGCTAATGGAAAATTTTCTAAGAACTTTCTTAAATGCTGTCAATGCAGACTGAAATGATACTGAAAGTAAAATTCTACTGTGTATTTTCCACCTCTCCCACCTTTTCTTTCTTGCGAAAATAATCATATGCTATATGCATTGTTGCATTCCACCCAAGAGCTCTAGGTTTGATTTCAGGAGACCAGACTAGATCTGTGAAGTACTGAAGAACTGTGTCCAGTAATAGCCAACAAGCTGATAAATTTGCATGCTGAAAGCAGGCAAGAGAAAACTTGAAAAGAAGGATATTTAAAACCCAGGCTCTGAGACGCAGTTGATTCAGAACACTTGATATGGAATGTAGTCCAAAAGGTGATACCTTCTATCAGTAGCTTATTGTTTCAGTGTGTAATTGTTAATTTGTAAGTCATACCTTTTTGGTGAAGAGGCGGTGTTTACCTTCTGCATTCTTCTGCTTTTGTAGACTCCTTCTAACACTGACAGAGGAGGATTTCACAAAAGAGCCTTACAGTATAGAGAACAGTAACCATAGAAAAGCTATTGTGGCAGAACTGGAATGTGTGAAAACTTTAGGTGTTAAACCACCACAGAACCTTTGGGAATATAAGGTAAACTTTATATAAAATCTGTCATGTATATTAAGTATTTTTAAAATAATATATGTAAAAGAAAATTATCTTAAAGCCAGGAGGAGCGTTAGGGATGTAGAATTACCCTTGTAAAAACTTCTCAGTTCAATGAACTGTTGTATTTGAAAAATGATCCTTTGAAAAATGATTGTCAGAAAAATCTAAGAATTGGCATGTCTCTTTCATTTTACTATTTCATTGTTTGAAACTTGATAATTTGATACCTTTCAGGCAGTAAATCCAGGAAAATCACTCTTTCTTCTCTATGCACTGAAGAGTTCTCCAAGGCTCAGTATGTTATACCTTTATTTGTTTGATTATGCAGAAGCTTTCCTACCTTTCATCCACACAATTTGCCCTACACAAGAAGATAAGTATGAAGATACTCTCACAAAACTACTAGTAAGTGTTCAAAACATTAAATGTGCTACTTGCTGTAGTTATAAGCATTTTAAGACTGACAGCATAAGAATATGATATAATTATTCACCATTTCATCTCTTTACAACTTTTTAAAAAGAATAAAACTACAAAAGAAGTGGTTTCTTGATTTTATTGTATGTGATCACCAGAGCTGGGACCATTACCTTTTATTAAGATTGATTTAAGGCTTTTGATACTTCAAATCTGTGAAACGGATTTTTTTTGAAGTTCACATGACCATAGAAAGGCTGTTCCTTCAAAGTACCTGTATTTTAACAAATGGCATTATAAGGTCTGGCTGTCTGTGATGTTTTATTCTAATCTAATGGAAATTACTGGGTATAATGGAAATTACACTGGTATATGGAAATTACTGGTATTATCTACCAGAAAATATAGTAAAGATAAATTGCTGCTTTCAATGTATGAAAAAACAGTTTTTCAATAAAAGAGTAGGGGAAATAAGCCAGTATTGTGTGTGATTTAATAGGAAATTGATTCACAGTCTTTTTATCCTTATTTACAGGACCTTAAAGATCCTTCTTGGAAACAGTGGAGAGAATTCATTGTGAAGTATTTATTTTTGCCATACCAGTTGATAGCTGAATTTGCTTGGGATTGGCTGGATGTGCACTACTGGACATCAAGATTTATAATTGTAAATGCCATGTTGCTCTCTGTTCTGGAATTGTTCTCCTTTTGGAGGCTCTGGTCAAGAAGAGAATTGAAGTAAGTCTTATGGAGCTTCTTGAAGGGGATAGGAAGTACATGGCCTTATAAATAGAAAGTAACAGTCTTGCTATTTCACAGTTGATCACAGAAATGACAATGTCTAACCACAACTCTGAGGTTAATAAGAACATGTGAATCTGAACCTGCACATATACTGTACTCACTCTTTAATATCTTTATTTCTGTGAGTACTTGAAAGGGTTTCTTACAGCTGGTTTTACTGATCAGATGTACCAAATGTAGTAACAGAAATAAGCATGTTCTTAACCATCGGATAAATGTTAACTTTTACCTTGAGAATTGCCCTTTATGATAACGGGTATTAGCTGTCAGCTGAGAACTGAATACGTAAGAATTTTGTCATTATATGCTTACAATATAGTCATTCAAGGGTGAGTCTTCAGGATCATAAATAAGTTTAGTTACACTAATACTATTTCTGATAGGTGATCAGAATTGCTGTTTCCAGTTACTGTTTTAGTTTTAATTCAAGCATATTGATATTACTTTATAATTGCTGTGATCTTTTATTTATAGTTTTTAAAACTTACATAGGATAAATTCTTGTGTTGGAGTGCTGGGTTTTCGCTGTCTCTGCAGCAGCTAGGGGGCAGAACCTGACCAAGGGAGAGCAGGGGATCCGGAAATAATCTGTGAGGAATGGGGAGTTTGACCACTTTAACTTGCTGTGCTTTGTGGTCTGAATAAATTGACTTAATGCTTCTTCATCTAAAATCTAGTATTACTGTATTTTAAGAAAGTTTTTCCGGAGTGCAAAATGATGTTTTACAGGTACCTGAGTAATTACTAAACAATTTGAGGATGCAGCACATAGTAGCTTTTCGTAGAATGGATAAAAACAAAACGGGAATTTCCTCTAAGCCTCTCCCTTTCCTTTTTCACAGGACTATTCCTCAAAGAATGTGGAGGCATTTCTGGAAAGTCTCAACCCAGGGTCTTTTTGTTGCCATTTTTTGGCCTTTTATTCCTCAGTTTGTTTGCAATTGTTTGTTTTACTGGGCCTTGTACTTTAACCCAATTATAAACATTGATCTTGTTGTTAAAGAAGTAAGGCGTTTGGAAACACAAGTGCAGTGACTGGCGTTGGAACTTTTGAGCTGTTTAGCTTCTAAAAATGGACATTTTGAAATAGGCTTTGCTTTTCTTCTTCATATATGTGGGAGTGAAAGTGGTGGATTATGTTAACTTAAACATACAAAAAAGCCTTAAGGTAAGTTACTCTTGAACCAGCTGATTCCAAATCTGAGGATGGGCTTTATTATATGAAAGGAATTTTCTATTAAAAAAAACCCCAAACCCACCACTAAAAGCATTCCTGATTTAACAATGTAAAACTGACACAGTCATATCACCCTATTTTTGAACAAATCAAACTTACCTATTCTGTCTTGAGCATTCTGGTTATTTTCAAGCCTGCCTTAAAAATAGTGTCTTCTGAACATCTGCAGTGATGATTTTTTTTTTTTTTTAAAAAAAAAACCAAACAACTTAGCAGTGTGTTCCTCAACTGAAGTTTGCCAAAGGAAAGATCTTCCTGGATAGGCTTGATACTGAAAATACTTCAGTGTTTCCAGTCTACTTTACATGTAAAGATGTGATTGTCAAATACACAGTCTCACAGGAGAGTTTGTTCTAAAATTCCCGCTGTTGAAGGCGCAAAGACTGCTTGAGTTTTCTTGTCTTTTGGAAAATGTGGTGATTGCCATTTAAATTTTTTTTTATTCAGATCAGTTAGACTTCATCAATAGCTTCTGTAATGTGCTCCTCTTGAAGTCTGTTGCTAATTCTTAAATTCAAGATTATCTCTTAAAAAAGGATTATTTTGGAAAAGTGACCTGACACTGTAATTACATCTTGCTGCAATATAATGTGTGTACCTAGGTCTGTAAGCGAATATTGACAGGAAAATTATTTTGTGTAAATGGGATTGCCATTTGTTAGTGTATGTTTTTTGACTGAAGCAAAAGTTAGATTTTTCAGGAGCTTTGTCCCTTTGCGTTCTACATTGGTTTGTTTGGGTTTTTTTCATTTGTATCATTAGTATAAACTTTACATTTACCTATGAATGTTGTTAAAGATTAAAGATCTCTTTTGAAATCTTCATCCTTCCTAAAGAAGTGCGCTTTTTTTTTTTTTTTTAATATATATTGAAGTACTTGTCATTAGCTTTGACTTATGCGGGGCTACAGAGTGCACCTTTAAGTAAGTTGAGGTGGGTGAAAGTAGACATCAAATACTCCTGATCTTAAACTGTTAAAAATGGAAGTTATGAAGAAGTGTATTATTCAGCAATTCATGTTACTGATTTCTCTTCCTAAAAGGTTTCAAAAAACTATGAAGTGACTCTTAACTAAAACCATCTTTACCTCCTTATGAGGTATATACACTTCTGGACTTTGCAGACTCACAGTGTCCAAGACCCAGTGCTTATGGGAAAGGCAGTTGGTCACAGCGACTGATACTTTTTTCATGTATCTGTCTTGGTGATGGTTTGCATTTTCACTTTTAAATCTGGCTCTGAAGTTTTAAGGGTAGAACTGCTCCCTATGCCCACAGGAAACTCAAGATGTACATACAGTAAGGAGCCTGAATCATATCAAATCAACAACTTTTTAGAAAACTGTATTTAAAAAGTAAATGCTAGAAAAAAAATAATTATATTAGGCATTTTTTAATATAGGTAGGACTACTTAAGGTGAAAGATGCAGAAGTTAAATTAGGCTACATAGTAAGTGTTTAATACAGATGAGAGGGCTCTTTGTAGTGACGCTGTCACTTGCATTTCTTCCAGTCAGTTCAAAGTTAACAAATGTTAAGGTAAATGTTTGCGTAAAAGTTTGATTTGTATCTTGGAGGCAGCGGAGAGGGGATGAAAACTTTAGCGAATGATACTATGAATCTGAAAAATCTGTGAATCTGAATAGAAACAAAATTAAGTCAGTTACTCCTTCAAACAGGTAAATTCCTGTTCAGTCAATAAAAGCTTACACAGAACTAATGAATTTGCTTTTAGTCTGTGCACTGCAGAAGGTAAATAAGGGGATAAATGTTTACTTTGGCCATTCTGGGATGGAGAGGCTGAGGCAGCAAGAAGAAGGATCAAGAAAGGGGAAAATAATTCGTTGTCACTACTGTGACAAAAAAAAAAGTCATTTTAGATTTAAATACATAAGGAGTTTTCATAAAGACTGATGCTGTATATCTAATGCCTACACAAAGGCTGAATCTCACCACACATAAAGTCTGGCCACAAAAGGTATTTTGTATGATAGGGAGCTTTAGAAAAACATTTGGCAGCTTCACGGTCACATTCACATGCCATTTTTTGACATTTGTCCTCTAGTGATTCTGAAAGAAAACACAGTAAGTTTGATGTTAGTCTGAAGAAATTAAAAATACCAAATGGAATACTAAAAATTGCTACCTCGTGTTCCATATTTGGCATATAAATGGCTCTTATATTTTAAGTGCAATAGGAACTATACTGAGCTTTAGTTAAGACATTTTTCTCAGGTTCTTTAGGCAGAGCTCCATGTGAGGACATCTTAGCAACAGCGAATATACAGGCATGGTCTGGTTTAGAGATAGTTGATAATCAGTGGAACTGTCTTGGCAGATGAAAATATGATACTTGGATAAAGATTTAAATACTCTTCTTCATGTTCTTTAATAAAGGAACTCTGATAACTGATTCCCCTTTAGAAAGTGGTGTGTGACCCTCTCTGTCCCTTCTGTTGCTCTAGTGAAACTTGAGTTTGGGAAGATATTTTCCATTTCACATATGCTTTAATCTACTAAAGGATGTAGCATCAAAATCATGTATGTGAAATAAGGGATGGAGAGATGTTCCATGTTCAGCTTAAATCACCCACTTTTTTTATCAAGGCATTCACTAAGAAGTAAACTGTGTTTTAAGTACAATAAAATCCATGTCTGGTTATATTGTTTTAGAATCACAGACTGGTTTGGGTTGGAAGGGACCTTAAAGACCATCCAGTTCCACCCCCCTGCCATGGGCAGGGACACCTTCCACCAGCCCAGGTTGCCCAAAGCCCCGTCCAACCTGGCCTGGAACCCTTCCAGGGAGGGGGCAGCCACAGCTTCTCTGGGCAACCTGTCAGTGTCTCACCACCCTCACAGGGAAGAATTTCTTCCTTAGATCTAATGTAAATCTGCCTGCTTTCAGTTTAAAACTGTTACACCTGGTCCTATCCCTACACCCCCTGATCAACAATCCCTCCCCCCTTTCCTGTAGCCCCTTTAAGTACTGGGAGGCTGCTCTAAGGTCTCCCCGGAGCCTTCTCTTCTCCAGCTGAACACCCCCAACTCTCTCAGCCTGTCCTCACAGGGGGGTGCTCCAGCCCCTGATCATGTTTGTGGCCTCCTCTGGACCTGCTCAAGCAGGTCTGTGTCCTTATACTGGGGGCCCCAGAGCTGGAGACAGCACTGCAGGGGGGGTCTCACAGAAGCAGAGTAGTTTTATGATTGTAACTTAGCAGGTTTCTTGGCATGAATGTTTCTTCTTGGCATGAACATTTTTTTCTACAGCAATATATTTTGGTTTTATTGTGCCAACCCAGAAATATATGGTTTTTTGCTTAGCTGACTCTCTGCTTGAGATTTGTCTACAAGCAGAGCATGTGTTCAGTTTTGTGAATGAACCCAAATTCTGCTATGAAATGGAAGTGTTCTCAATGTATGTGTGTTGACACTGCAACTAGCTACCCTAAAAACTACTCGATGGCATAACCAGCATAAACAACACGATAGAATAAAAACCCCCAAACATTAACTGAGAACTATTCCGTCTCTGTTTATTGCTCCAAGCTTAATCGCCTCCATGGTACACAGGGACTTTGTTTCAACTTTGTTGATCACATGCCTACTATCTTGGCCAGTATTCTAAAATATTGTCAGCTTCTGGACTGGAACAAGAGCAGAACCTTTATAGCCAAATATAGGTGGACTGCAACTTGACAATTAAATAGTTTGAGAGAGAAAATGCTTAGTACTTCTGGACCCAAGAGGAAATATGCAAGTAGAGATTCTGCAAAGGTAGGCACTTGGGCAAAGTAAAGGCTGAATGGAAAGGAGGAAAGGAAATAGTATCAATCATTTGATTTCAAGTCAGGCAAATTCTAAACTGAGTTGTGAAACAAGAAGTTTTTTTGTTTTCTCTGACTGGCCTACTGTGTTGCCTTTATAAATTATGGTAGTCAGAAACTCAGACTTGTAAATAAATTCATGTAAGGGTCTGCATTTTTGTGGTGCAAATGATAACCAGTTCTCAACCTGCTTTGCATACTAGGTTGTAGCATAAAATTACATGTGAAATAACAAAAAAAACCCCAAACAAAAAAAGTCCAAAACCTGACAACAAGAAGAAAAAACCCTGTAAATTTTGGGGGCTTGTGAGAAGTTATAGTTTCAAAAAGTCTTTGAAGTATATTGGAAAATATTTGCTTAAACTTTGGGAGTTGCGAAGAAATCATGTAAAAAAGAATGCTGCTTTTTCCTGTTAAACATCTTTTGTTTGTTTCTTTGAGATCTCTTTGTCCTTCTCTTCTATACTACAGCATGACACGTATATTACATTCAATTTTGGAGCAATCAAACAAAAATTTTTCTGTAAATATTTTCAAATTAATATTTTATGGCTCATAAACATGATACTTCCATAAATAACCATACTGATCAAATATTTTATTATCTCAGTGTTTGAAATTCTAAGTTGTAATTGTGAATTCATTCATAAATTGCAGCCACTAGTAGTGGGCTCTGCAACCAATCAGTGGTATGCCAGAAACTTGTCCATCATAAATTTGTAAATGGTGTGAAATAACTTTCTGCTAAGTATAATATTTTTAAACAGTTGCAGTTTTCTTGCCTCCTGTTTGTAGTTATTTTCCAGGTGGAGACCTGCAGGGAGTAGCATAACATGGGTTCCTCAAGTATGCAGATGCCGAGTAAAAAGAGGGGGTTTTTTGGTAGTGTTTTCTGAAAGGGTAATAGAAATATATAGATCAGAATTTTGTTTGTTTATGTATGTCAGTACATGGGGATTAAGAGGAAACTGCATTCATTGGGTTATCATAGCTGTGCTTCCTGGAAGCACAGCTTATCCTGGCAAAAAAAGTCACAAAAGGAAGGATGGTAAAGTAAGAATTTTACAGTTAATTAAGAAAATATCTTTCTATTAAGTCAATGAGACAATCCATAGAAGTTTTAAAAACAAAATCAAACCCCAAAAGCTCACCAAAAAAAACCCAACTAGAACTGTTGACTCACCACACACAGCAGCATTGTCATCACATTCCCAGTAGTAATTTTCTGTCTTTGGGTGACAACCTGCTTGTTCTGCCTTCCCATAGCAGCAGTCATGGTTAAAGCAGCACCTGGGAGTAACAGAAACGCCTTAATTGCCTTAATTCATGCTGTGGTGATTTATGATCACATAATGTGGATGGTTTTTATCAGCATGTTTGTGCAGGCTGTGAAATAATAAAACAGTCAACATACGTGAATGTTCAAACAGTTACCTGCTTGGGAATCTAAACAGGGTAATTGTTTTAAGAGATCACCTGGAAAAAATTAGTACTCTTTTCATGTAATCAGTGATGAGGAAAAGGTCTGGTACACATTGATCTAACTGAACTTCCTCATAGATGAAAATACAAGGAATCCTTAAAGCATTTTCTGTTTTAAATACAATAAAATGTTATGTGGGTGTGCTTCTCTCCTACCCCTTCCAAGAAAAAGATTAAATGCCAGAATAGTCTGTGGGATAATAAATGATGTATTTTCCTGCCAGTTACTGATGCTGTTGTAACAGTTAACAGGGAAGAGACAAGATTTGTTAGGCCATAGCAGACTATTAGAAATGTCATCTTTTAGCAAAGTCCTTAGATGGTGGCAGAAAGGCTGAGAGCAGGTGAAATGTTCAGTAATGCATAGGCATGGGTGCTGTTTAATGCCATAATATAAGCAAAACTCTTTGTTCACTCTCATGAGAAAATTTGGAAAATTGCCTAAAATGACCATTTCAGAATTGTTCTTGTCATAATCAGGGCAATGAATTAATAGAGTTTCTATTACACTGTGGCACTGAACTGTACAGGTAAAGCATTCTTTTCTGGTGGAGTTGTTGCAAGCCCAGAACAGCAAGTAGAGGAGGTAATAAGGACCTGAAATTAGATAGCTTGTAAATATTTGCTGCAAATGTTTTTACTTAGGGGAAGAACAGGGTGTATCTGTGAGCTCTTTGCATTCAGCCATTGAGTTTCCTCCTGGTAGCCTGAAACCATCATGTTACAGTAGGTACATGATGTCTAGATGGTATTTAGATTGCCTGAGGAATTTGTGTCTGCAATAGAAAAAGTTAATGCTGTGAGCTCTCACCTGCAATTACTTTTTTTTTTTATTCCCCCCTATGCTTATTAAACAATTACTTGGTAATTCCATGCAACTCGCCATTTAAAGATCATGTGGTACGTAACAGTTAAACAGCACATGCTCCTGAAGTAGCTTAATACATCAATTTCAGGCATAGAAATAAAAAAAAGTAAAATTCTAATGAGTCTTTGTAGCAGTACTAAGGTAAATAAACAAGGGAATACAGCTTTTGCCGTAGTGCCATCTATCTTCACGTGTTTACAAAAATTTTTAGAATTACTTTCGTCCTCTTTTTAAGTGTTTTAAATAAAAAAATAGATGCTTAAGGATTTTGTATTTTATCTTATGAAAGCAATATATCATTGCCTCCATTTGAAAGTTTATTTTTGTAAGTGGCAGGCAAAAATCTAAATTACAATAACTATTATTTGAATAATTCTATTACAGATCTTCTTACTTCAGATTAAGTATTTCTGTGTTTTCACTTAACTTGTTTGCGGGCATAATTCTGAAAGTAAACAGCCCACAACGTAGCTCAAAACTTTTAAGAAATCAAACTTGGTAAGAATGTTTGTCGCTTATTCAACATGTGCAATTCTTGATTCTGTTAAATGTGGTAAAGTGCGCTCACTCTGGCTTGTTCTTACCATTCTGTAGATATTAAAACCCAGACCACAAATACCTAACTGTGTTTTGTGAAGAAACAGCTTCCTGCTACTGTGTGACTTTTACAAATGAAGAAATGCCCTCCAGTGAAAGACTGCCAAACTGCAGATTCTCCATCATTATCTTTTAAGTATACAGATGACCAGAACTAATCATAGTCCCTTCTTTTTGCATGTAATTGCTACTTTAATGACTGGGAATACATTCTACAAAGTTGTCTTTAAAATAACAGATTACACATCCAAAAACTTGAATCATGTAGGCAAAAGTTTCTACAAGTTTTAGGTCTAATCATGACTAGAATCTTTACACACACATAAAAAAAAACCAAAAAACACCCAACAAACAACCAGAGTAGAAATTTCCATAGATTCTACCCTAGATATGAGTATCAGACATACCTTTTAATTTACAGTATATCTGATAAGTCAGAATTTGAGATGTCCCATATGATGGGGAAATGTATCGTTATAATGATAAACTTGAAAATATAAAACCTCTAACTACTGTAAACAGCAAATCATCTTTCTGTCAGCTAATGTTCAATTACAAATGAAATTGATGGTAGTTGATATGCTGAGATTTAGTACTAAATACAAAAGTCTGTTTTTAGAATGATTTTGGTAACAATTCATAATTACTTTTATTCAAGTTATTTTTCAACAGGTTGAATTTTGCATAATTTTCTATGTATTATTTTGAATACTAATAAAATAGGATGGATGGTAGTAGAATCAAAAGATTTTTCCACTGCAATTATTTGTATTTTAAATTTTTTTTTTTACTTTTCTGGATAGCTTGAATGTTTGAGCTTTAAAGCTTCTCCAGGAAGACTTTAGTTCTTCATCTGTTGGCCAAACAGCAACAGCAAAACAACTCAACTGTACTGTGAATCCAGTATTAATGCAATGAGAGTTTGAGCTAGAGGCAAGTAGGACTCCTATAGATCTACAGTAACACAATTGTAATGCTTCAGAGTTTCTTAGCAGTCTGAGGTGTGTTTAAATTCAGTTCCCTCACTGATGTTAAATAGGCCTAATTAATATTTTAGTCCTTTTACTCTGTCATCTGCATACATTCAGCACTTAATTACTCAGATAAATAGTTACTCTTACCAGTCTACTCTGTCCTTGGGCCATCCTCTTCCTCCCAGACCACAGTAGCATCCGTAACGTAGGTAGGCAAAAGGAGATCGTCCTGTAGTACATCTAATGGCTCCAGCTAATTCAATAACTCCTCTTCGATTTCTAAAGTGGGCTTCCCCTTCATATACTGTGGAAGAAAAACTTTTTTATTGAATCAAACATGCAGATTCAAAATCGTTTGCGCTTTTTAAAAACTTTGATAATGAATGTCAGTACTTGAGAATTATAGTTTTCCTTTTGACACTCTGAGGCCACACTGCTTGACCCAGTCCCTTTCACCCCGATCTGTAGTGAGCGGAATACTGAACAACGTTCTGAATAGCTGCAGTGGTTTCCTCCCATCAAGGCAGCGTATCCAGTCTTAAAACTGGCAAGGGCTAGCACACGTTCTGTGGGCTAGGTCCACTAATCTGCTAAAATTAGATGCCGGAAGCGCTGCAGTATTTTCTCCTAACATGCAGTTTTGCCCATGTTATTACTTTGTAGAATGTAATGCTTTACGTTTGAACAAGTATGTCCTCTATGATGGGGTTCTGGTTTTCCTAACTTTTAGACAAAGAAGCCAAATAACTGGTGGGGGTGGTGGGGTGGGTGTAGAGCAGGGAAACGGGTGGGTACTTGGGAGTAATTTCCAGGGAAATGAAAAGAGTTGCTTAATTATCTTCTGTTTCATTTTGTTCGGGTTTTGTTGTTGTTTAAGGAATTGTCACCATTATTTCTCCAGAACAACACTGTATTTAGAAACTTTAACTGTCCTGTGTCAGTACTAGAGCAGTAGGTCCAGGGCAGCAGGTAAATGTTGAGACCAGATGACTTTTTAGGGCTTCGTGTCACCCTTCAGATTGAGCTAACGGATCAAAGACCCTTAATGGTAATGGGCAGCATTTCCTTACAGTGCAGGCTCTAAGCTATATGCAGCAATTCTTAAGAAGCTGGATGAGTACAAAACAAATTAGTGGAAGGCTGCTGGTAAGAGTTGTCTTGCTAATTAAGCTAATGATTTGTTTTGGTATGAGGAGAACAGTTTATGAACCTTAAATCCGAGTACTGGATACAGTTTGGGAAAGACATTAAGATTTAATAACTGATAATAGGTGTGAGAGAGCAGAAAAAATATTTAGACTTTGTTATTGAAGGTTTTGATAGGTATTTTCCTACAGAATATGATTATACAGTTTGTATATAGTCTTTATAATCGTATAATCTATTATAATATACTAACTAATAGACTATTATAAATTATAATTATTATCATCTCTTATAATAGATCATACTATAATCAGTTAATGGAAGATCTGCTAGAAAAATATTTTTCCCAACACAGTTGAGTAACTTGAAATGTGTGGGATGCTGGTGACCTTCAGCACTTGTAATTTCATGAAACAAAGGGATTTAAACATCTTGTGAAATCACCTCATTAAGAAATAGATTTGATTTGTAGGTGAGAATGGTAAAAAAAGCTTTAGAAAGAATGTTTGGAGCTAATCCTTACTTATGAAAATAGTTAGGCTGCCTAAGTTAGTTCTTTAGTTCTTTTCTGACGGGCAACTACTCCGAGATCTTTGTGGGCACGTGATCTGGGGAGAGGAGAGGGTGTTGAAACAAGAGGCTGAAACATGCACGTGCATCTTTGGCCACTGATTAAAAGCAGTCACATCTTGAGGAGTTAAAAAAGCCTCCTGGGCCATGTAGTCACTTGCAGTTTCATTTTAAAACTGTTCCATTGGCACTAAAACTTCTTTGCCAAGATAGTGAACAGTATCTATTGTGTCATGGCTCCTGTTCCAGGATATTTTCTCCTGTTTAGTTCTGTAGGTTTTCTGGTAAAAAGATCCTCTCACGCTTTCCCAAGGGGTCCGTAAGGTGCACTGGGTGGACTCCCTGGAACCTGTAGTTCTAGGTGTCAAAATAACAGTCATGCTGTGGAACTGACACATGATCATCTCCCATGCCGTTGCAGCTTTGGGTAGCAGAAGCATCCGTTTGAGTATAACCAGATTCTTATCTTTATGGTAGCATTGAAAGTGTTATCTTCACTGTCAGTACAGGTTCAGTAAATTCCCAGCTGAAAAAAAAAAAAAAAAACGCAGCGAGGTTGCAGCGTTACAAATGACAACTGTTTAGTAAGATTTGGCTAGACTCTTGTAGCTAGCCAGTCATGTCTGAAGGAACCACGTTAGTGGTTAATGGCAAACCTGGGTTTGCTCTGCTTGACATTAGGATTCTGAAGAATTCCCTTAAGAAAGTGAAGAATTTTCGCATGTATCTCAGCTCCTGGCATCTGGGGAAGGATGGTGTAGGGGAGCTACGAGACAGGAAGTAGAAACTAAGAATTTATAAGTCGTATTCCTGATTTCATCAGAGACATGTTTGCTAGCTTTGGACAAATCCCAGTCCCTTGATTTAAATCCATGTAAAGTGGAAGTGATAAACTGTCTGCTCCCTTGAGGAGCTCAAGTATTAATCTTGAAAATGTGCCATGTAACTTAAAGGACATGAACTTTTTATCCTTGCAGTTTGTGTTACAGCATCTGGACATCCAGGTGTAAACCAATAGTGTACTCTACTGTAGAGACTCTGAATATGACTGAAGGAAAAGTCTGTCCCCGCCAGCTTCTTAACCTGACTTTAATAGACGTGACAAAAGATCATCCTAGAACGCAGAGAACTATGCAAACAAAAAGAGTATCACTGTGATGATGTAATGCATTAGCAACATAATAAATTTTCCAAAGTATTTTATCAGAACTTCTGTGGAATACAAAGTGACATTCTGCGTATTTCCAAATGTTTCAAGGTTAAGGTATGTTTTTTAAAATTTCTGTGTGATTATTTTGTTTTCACAAAGACATTTATCTTTATGGACAAGTGTATTCCTATAGGTTTGATTATGCATTCCTGAAAATGTAGTGTTGTTGCTCTATGTCGTCTGGTTTTTGTTTCTGTCATGCAGATTGTGTGCAGCTCTATCAAACACAGTATCGTGGGTGGGGAAAAGGGAGGGAACAGATTGTGTTTATTTTAATTTCATTGCTTTATAATATGTATGAAAAAATCAAAACCATACTGTTTTGATATCTACAGGTCACAGGAAATAAGTACAACTAAGTGCTCAAAAATTAAAATTTACAGTTAGACAATTGAGTCTAGTCTTACGGCTTTTAATACTATTGTAATTTCCAGTGTTTACTGCACAATAGGAGTTGGAATTTTGTTACAGTTTCAACTGTGGTCATTCTTGAAAGAAAACTTTAAAGACATATTTGGGAGAAGAAAAAAAAATTAAAGAGATTAGTCCCTCAGCAAACTCAGATTTAACTGGATGTGATGTAGCTGCTTTGGAAGTAAAGGTTGAAGGGAAACCAAAACCATACAAATCCTAAGCCTACTTGAGGCACCATAAAAAAGCAGATGGGGAAGAAAAAACCCCAGAGAAATCTATGTGATTGCACTGACTTAAGCCAGAGAGATCAAAAGCCACGGCGTGACTTTCTGAAGACTGGAACTAAGTAAACACTAAAGACAACCTGAGAGAAAGTAACAGTAATCACATTGTATTTGTGCTTGATTTTAAAACTGTAATTCCTGTTGTCCAAATTGGAGCCCTGCCATGTTTGGAGAGTTTGAACTTCATCAGACTGTCTTGGTTTGTTGCCTGTGTAAGATCTTGTGAGTTCAGACTGTGCTGAATGCTCTACATTATGATGTCTTTGCAAGGTGTTTTCCACTATACCTTCCTACTCTCCTTTCTTCTTAGTTTTCCGAATAGCCTACAATAGTATTTAAAAATCCAGTCCCTTAAATTTCCATATGTATAGAGGAAAAAGAAACATTTTAGAAACGTGTGACATTATTGTGAAAAGTCCTATTTTCCATAACATCGTGCTCTTTGCAATGGGCACAACACAGACATAATAATTATTTTTGCAGATATATAATTATATTTTTATTGAGAAGCACAGCTTTGCATAATTATAATATATAACTACATTAATCATTAGCAACTAATACAGTCCATGATGTTTTTTGAGGTTTAAAAGAAATCTTAAGCCATTCTTTCAAAGACTGAGGCTACAAAAACATTTTTGGATGTTAAGTATGTGTAAGATTTCCTACAGTGATATTTCCTTCGTACAGTCATAGTGCTCCACTAGTTCAGAATTTGAAACTTGGGAATGCATCTCCAGGATCGTGCCAGAAGTGGAAACATTTGAACTGTATGCATTATAGAACCTTTTTAAAAATTTTTGCTAAGGTTTTTTCCTCTTGGATGGTTTCGTAAGCCATCAGGAATGGCCTTTTTTGCCTCATCTTGTTGCCCTGACTACTGATGTGCTATCACTGCACACTGTGGTCACATGTAAATTTTTTTTTTTAAAGAATAAATTTGCCTGTTTTGATACTGAGGACCAAGCATTGAGAAACAGGTGAGTTGCATTTCCCCTCCTCCTCACTGCATAGGGAATGGGTGATCCTGATGCCTGACTTGGAGCTCTCGGCCTGGAGCCAGGCTCTCTGCAATGATCACTCTAGGCTGGCAGAAGCAGTAAAACAGTCTTTCACTGTTTTCTTTAATGTTCTTGCTGAGGTTTGTGCCGTGCAAAGGATGAAGTCTGGAGGATGATCAAAATGCAGGAGGAATAATAGGGGCATCCTGAGGTCAGGGAGTAGAACTGGGGCAGTGACCTTGGTGGGACCTTAACTCGGCCCCATTATGCAAGCACCTTACCTTATGGTCTTTTAACCCTGCCCCTGCCTGTTTCATTCTGTGCACAGAATAAAAGAATCAGTTGAGGCTCCTGTCCTTAGGATCTGTCTGTTTGCAGGATTTGATTTGATGAATTTGCAAGCTGTGTAGGAATGTATAAAGAAAATTGCAAGAACTAATAAGAGAATCTCTTAAGGCAACTGAATGCTACTCTGGAAAACTGGACTTTATTCTTGCAGCTGTCAGAAGGGTTCAGCATGAGGTTAGTTTAATTTTAAAAATATACCTATTGATGTTTACTCATAGTGTGCTCCTAGCCTGCTGACTATCCTAGGGTTGGAGTACCAAACTACTGCAATACTCCTGAGAGCCAAGCTTTGAGTAGTTGCAAGTTTCACGTAATTTTACGTGGTCGTAGGTAAAATCGGGTTCTGTGTCACTAGGGATAGTGGATGCTTTTCTGTCAGCCACCCACCTATCTGAAAAAGCGGGACGATAATACAGTTTCACAGGAGCGTGAAAGAAGTGCATTTAGATACTATACTGATGAATACCTCAGAAAAGATGAATACCTCAGAAAAGATGAATACCTCAGAAAACCTATGAGGAAATGGACTGTGAATTATTACAACTGGTCTTTAATACTGGTCTTTAATAAATAGGACAGAGGAGACCAGAAAAAAAAAATATTTGCAAAGTGAGTAGTCGGCTCTGCTCAGGTATGAGGCAGGGGTCCTTTAATTACATTCTCGCATCATAACTTGTTCATAAAGACTGACTCATTTTGTCAGAATGACCCGGTTAGGGTTTTGCAGGCGATCTCAGTTCTAGCAGTTCCCGGCTTTTGAACTGCTTCGTACCCGGGGTGCTCCGAGCCAGCGCTCTCACAGCCCCGCAAGCGCGTGGGTCAGCGGATGGCCGTGTGGAAGGATGCTGGTTACCCACGCGATCTGCTGTCCGATTCTAAGCACCGAACACTTAAGCACACTGACACGCTGCTCCCGCACCCGCTGCTCGGGCCCTTCGCCGGGGTGAGAGGTTCGGCCCGAGCGCGGCGGCCGGGCTCCGGCAGCGCCCGTTC